GCAGCAGCAGCAGCAGCAGCAGCAGCAGCAGCAGTAGTAGTAGTAGTAGTAGTAGTAGTAGAACGCCCCCCACAGCTTTTTGTTTAGGGGCCTTTATGCAGCCAACTAAGACAGAGAGGCTGAACACAACCCCATTAAATAAAATATAAATGAAAAAAAAATAATTAAAATTAATAAACACAACGGGAACATGCCTGACGAGCTTCCCCCTACAGACAGCTGTGGGGTGTATTCTGTTTCTTCTAGCTCTCAACAGCAGCAGCAGCAGCAGCAGCAGCAGCAGCAGCAACGGCAGCAGCAGCAGTGGCTTAGATTTAGCTTGAGGCTATAGAAAGGAGAGAAGAAAGGGTTTGGGGTGTACATGCAGTGTCTCGGTTGCTTACATTCTGTACGGCTCTCCATCTCCTGCTTCTGCTGCTGTTGCTGCTGCTGCTGCTGCTGCTGCTGCTGCTGCTGCTGCTGCTGCTGCTGCTGGTGTTCAGGACTACCAGCACCACCGACTGGGTCGAGCGAAGGGGGCGAAGGGTGAGGTATGTGAGGCTCTGAAGGAGGTGGAGCAGGAGAAGTGTTATCAGCAGCCTCATCAGCAGCAGCAGCAGGAGCAGCAGCAGCAGCAGCAGCAGCAGCAGGCGCATGCAGCCCCATTGCCTGAAGGTATATCTGAAGATGACGCCGAGTCTCTTCTCTCTCCTTTTGGGGCTTATGACGCCGACTCTCCCTTCCACAGAGATGAACAGCTCCTCATACAAATCGCCAGATGGAGAATGGCTTACCAGAGATTCAGGGTACTACACATCTCTCTCAACGCATGCATCCATGCATGCATGCATGCATGCATGCATGTGGGGCTTGCATGCATGCATGCATGCATGTATGCATTGTATGCATTGTATGCATGCATGCATGCATGCAAGCCCCAAACTCTATGCATGCGTACATGCATGTATGCATGCAAACAGGCCCCAAACTCCATGCATGCGTACATGCATGCATGCATGCATGCATGCATGGATTTTGGTTGTTTACGCCCTAGCAGGATGTAGATAGAGAGATCCCTTTGTTGATGTCAGTATGCTGCTTATTTTGCTGCTGCTGCTGCTGCTGCTGCTGCTGCTGCTGCTGCTGCTGCTGTCTGCATGCGTGTACAGACAGGAGCTGCAAGAGGAGCTGCAGGAGACCTTGAGGAGATCGCCAAGGGCCTCAGTCTGTCCGTGAAACTGCTGCTGCTGCTGCTGCTGCTGCTGCTGTTGTTGCTGCTGTTGCTGCTGTTGCTGCTGCTGCTGCTGCTGCTATTGTTATGGCTGTCTTACTGCTATGCATTTATACCTATACGTCTGAATATCTACGGTGTATACACCTCATCATACATATACATATATATATATATATATATATATATATATATATATATATATATATATATATATATAT